GAGGTTCTTCAACCGGTGGTATTACCATTCTTACTTGGACATCATTTGGAACCATTATCCAGCAAGACAATGACCAGCATGCTGCTCGAATTGTTCAGGATTACCTTGTCAACCACAATGTTGAGGTTCTGCTGTGAGAGGTGCAGGGTTATCTGTTATGGGTAAAGCTGTGGGAGATGCAGGGTGATCTGTTGTGGGCAAAGCTGTGAAAGGTGCAGGGTGAGCTGTTGTGGGTAAAGCTGTGAGAGATGCAAGGTGATCTGTTGTGGGTTAAAGCTGTGAGAGGTGCAGGGTGAGCTGATGTGGGTAAAGCTGTGAGAGGTGCAGGGTGAGCTGTTGTGGGTAACTACTGCCCATTGAAAACCTGCCTAGTGATCATTAACGGTAACCTAAATGCACAACGTATCGAGACGAGGTTCTTCAATCGGTGGTATTACCATTCTTACTTGGACAGCATTTGGAACCATTATCCAGCAAGACAATCACCAGCATGCTGCTCGAATTGTTCAGGATTACGTTGTCAACCACAATGTTCAGGTTCTGCTATGGCCGGCATGTTACCCGGATATGGACCCTACTGAACACATAAGGACTACTGGAACAGACAAGTTAGAAATGTTCGTCACACACAAGCCAACAGGAATCTCGGTCTTTCAGAGGAATAGCGCAGGATCCCCCATGACATCATCAGGAGACTCTCGGCATCAGTCCGACGACATGTACTGGTATGTACGTACGAACAAAAAATACACACACGATATTAGACACTTGAAAAGTCCCCAAAGAAATTATTCTTAATGTAACGAGCAACTGACGACACAGTTGGTCCATCTGGTTTGCATCTGGGTTTAACCATGTATATATCTGATGGTTATGTAAACAAGTTAAATATGTTAAACAGTTACTAGTCACACAATATGTGTTAAAGGAAACACAAGTTACACAATGTGACCACCTAAACGGGTACATTAAAACACTTATATAAATATACATGTGGAAAAACGTATCGCAACACCTACTTTTTTCTCTCAATATCTTACAAATTGCCATATAACAACATTATGAAAATAAATAAAAACAATAACTCATTTCGTGTCTCAAACGCAACAAATCATGATGCACGTGTTGCCGGTTACAAAGTATGGTGAGTGAGTGAGTTTAGTTTTACTAACAAGTATGGAGCATATGGAACACTTGCACCCCTCGTGTCATGAAAATACAGTTTCAATTATCATTCACTATTGTTAGAAAACTGAGCTAAAACGCAAACCTATTGTCTTAAACCACTCTATGGGTTCCCTCAGCTAACGTCGGCCGTGACCGGGATCGGTGGAACTTGGCTTCATGGGGAAGATCTATTTTTCATACGAGAGCCGGTTTTTGCTGTTAGTTACTGACGGAATGTCGCGTGTATGACGGCAGGCGAACATGGCATATACTTTAAGGAATATCCTGGAAGAAGTTCCATTGGGCGGAGGATCCTTGAGGGAATGGGGCTGTGTGTCGTATGACTGCAAACTTGTCACAGTGAGAGTAAATCTGAATGGACAGAGATACCAGGAGGAAATCTTGAGGAGTGCCTCATTTTGATAATGATCCCCTATTAACATGGCAAATCTTTATGGATGACAACGCCAGGCCACAGTCATGCGCAGTCATTGATTTCCTGCATCAAGAAGCCATAGCCAACCAGAAGCCCTGATTTGAACCCCATCAAGCATGTTTTGGACATTCTGGGGTGTAAGGTTCGCCAGTGAGATCCGCCAGTCCAGAATATTGATAAATTAGAGCAAACATTGCACCAAGAATGGAACAGGTTGCCCCGGATCGGATTCAGCGTCTTGTGCACTCAATGAGGACGAGGGTTCAAAACGTCGTCCAGGTGGGCGGAACTTACACAAGATGCTGACTGTGTCTTCTGTTTCTGAAACTAGAGACCGTATTTGTGGATTGGGTGTATGAATTAGGACTATGCACCGTGTTACCTGTTTTGGGATGACCATACTTTTATTGACACATTATGCTATCTATAGTTTTATTACATTACCCATGTTATACCATTCAAATAATTATTCATACCATTCAGATTCTTTATTGTTGGCTTTTGTGTTAATGAAAATTGTTTTTAGCACTTTGGCAACAAAATAATTTCCTGTGAAGACGCACACGGCATATAAACTGTGATTAAATATAGGTCCTGTCATAAAACTTGGGCGTTGCGATACTTTTTTCCATCTGTATATTTGCACCTGATAGTTACATGAAACATACTCATCTATCGAACCGTACGAGCATATGAGGCCTCTATGAAATACGAGGTACACAATATGTGTCCTTGGTGGTTATATAAAACCAGAGACAATGTGTCCGCCAGATGGTTACAATTAGATGCGACACAATGACGTAATAACCTATCGAGCGAACACTTGACCCTTGGCTCGGAGACAACAGTATGTTTCTTGTTGCTGTGACAACAGTTCGTCAATTACGGCCACGGTAAACTTTGTGGCTGTGCTTATTGATTACACTAAAAAAAGCCGTCCTGCTAATCACCGTTCAGCGAGCTGACTGGTTGTCCTCCCGATCGATCTCATGTATAGGTAAGAATAAGAAAATAGTGTTCGACAGATCAAACATTGGACGGATCAGTATCTGGAGGTAAACAAACTCAAAACGCAGCAGATCACTACTGTTTTCTAGTCAATAGTTTAAAGATATGGACTTATAACAACACATATGGTAACCTTACATGTGGGAGTATATAGACAGTGTTTGGATAGTTGCACCTAGATGTTTATACTATTATACACCTTGAGATGACAAGACTTTATGGATGATCAACTTCATTATTTAACAATGGCGACGTTTAGATACTTATACCGTTTTCAAGCATATGCTGCGGTAACGGTATAAGGATCTTTACCGAAACGTCGCCATTGTTAAAATAATGAAGTTGACCATCCATAAAGTCTTGTCATATCTATACCACCAACTTCTAGAATGCCACTCAAACAAATTATTATACACGTTATTCATTTGTTCCGCCAGGCCCAGCAGTGTCTTGCCTGCTCATAGCTCATTACATTGTGTGCCCCCAAACGTCGCTATTTCTCTTCTTGATTGTTATCCCTTTATCTATGTAATTTCAAACATGAGATGTTCATCAGTCAGGGGGGCGGTGGGGTAGCCTAATGGTTAAAGCGTTGGCTCGTCACGCCGAAGACCCGGGTTCGAATCCCCACATGGGCACAATGTGTTATGCCCATTTCTGGTGTCCCCCGCCGTGATGTTGCTGGAATATTGCTAAAAGCGGCGTAAAACCAAACTCAGTCAGTCAGTCATCAGTCAGGAAAATGCTTCGTCATTGTGTTTTGAAATAGATGAAACCCACGCTTACATAATCCGATTTACCCAAGGTCGCCACTCTCCACCATTCATATAAAAAATATATTTATTGTCGGGGACACAACTAAGGTGTTCCGCAGAAGAGTAATGGCTAATTTAGTATCGCCATCATCATTGATAGTCCTGGTCTTGGACGGTCATTTACTTCACCGGTTGTTACGAGCTTCACATAAGTCGACTAACAACTATGCGGTTTATGTGGAAGTTCGCACGATGTTACGACAGGACACCCCAGCTTCATGCATGTCAATAAATTGCCACTGAGTACACCTTGTCATGCCAATAACTTGCCACTGAGTAAATCTTGCCATGTCAATTACTTGCCACTGAGTACATCTTGCCATGTCAATAACTTGCCACTGAGTACATCTTGCCATGTCAATAACGTGCCACTGAGTACACCTTGCCATGTCAATAACTTGCCACTGAGTACATCTTGCCATGTCAATAACTTGCCACTGAGTACATCTTGTCATGTCAATAACTTGCCACTGAGTACACCTTGCCATGGCAATAGCTTGCCACTGAGTACATCTTGCCATGTCAATAACTTGCCCCTGAGTACACCTTGCCAAATCAATAACTTGCCACTGAGTACATCTTGCCATGCCAATAACTTGCCACTGAGTACACCTTGCTATGTCAATAACTTGCCCCTGAGTACATCTTGCCGTGTCAAGAAAAATACATTTGTAGCACTGCCGTCAGGTAAATCAGTTCGGAAACCTCTGGTGGCTATACTGCAGTTATGAATTTCATACCCGAATGTGCTTAGTGCCTTTGCAGCTCATGAACATGCTATCCTCAACACGTAAAATACAGTATTCAAGGGTATGAATTCCGGTGGTACTGAATTAATGCTCATGTCTATATTTTGGTGGCGATGTGAGCTAAATATTTGTGAAAAACGTTAAATAATATATTCGTCGTAAAATGTTATCATAAAACCTATTCATTTTAAAAGAAAACCAACAAACATTACAACATAAACAAATGTAACCAGTAACTGGTAAGGGGTGTAAGGTTCCTTCTGTGTCTCGTTAACTGACACCTCCCAGCTTGCCACTGAGGTGTAGACGAGGCCACGTTCTTTACAACGATATACTGCTGCTTTAGTTTGATGCAAATAGATGTTAGTGTTTTAAACTAATCAACACAAGGGTCCACACAAGTCAAAGGACATAACACAGGTATTGGAGGGGCGGATCCAGGGTTTTGGAGCAGAGGACTATAGACTAGCGCTTAAAAATGATGAAAAAAACCCATCTCAAATAAATGTACCTTGGAATTCATACCTTCCACCACACAAAGATGCATGTACATTGGATCACTAATCACTCCGCATTCACGATTGACTGATATCCCTAACAACATATTTAGATTCCTACCAACAGTCTGCCATGCCTGGCTAACTAAACCGAATCGACCGACTGTGAAGGAAGGCCTCACATGCAAGAACCAGAACCAGTATTAATAATGTGGAGTTTGGAGACACTGTCGTCAGTTGTGTCAGAACGAGAATGTGTACCAGGGATGAAATTACAACACGTGATTAGGAACGTCATGGGCGTTTTGCGCATGTGTACGATTTTACCACCCGACAGCCTACCACGATATACGCGGCACTTATCATCTATTCATCACAGAAGCAAGTCGTGGATCTTGTTACAGCAATGATACAACTCGCTCGGTGGTGGCTGGGTAAGCTCTTAAACTACAACAGTTCTTGCTAGCTCTCGCACCCTACCTAACCACTTAGTAGCATCCGAACAGTTGATTACAGTTTATCATTATTGATTCATGACGATTTGGTGAAGTTTACATGAACATAGAATTGTTATAAATTACAGTCCTTTCATTCATGTCAATGTTTGAACATTTGCGTGTTTATTGTTTGAACTATAATTTGTGCATTTACATGATGTCATTTAAAAAAAAAAAAAAGACTTAAAATTCATTCAATGTTTCTGTAAGTTTGTTTCTTTTGCAGTTGGGCTAACATGTATCTCCGTGGCATGTAAGTGACCTATTTGTTGCTCTTGGTAGTAGTAGCAGCTAATGATTAATATCATTTTTATTATTATCAATATTATTGTCTTGCGCGAAATATTTTGAGTAATTCTTTCAAGATTAATCCTTTCACAACAGAAATGTACACGATGTAAACGATTGTATTCTCTCTTCACATAATTTTGAGAAAGCTTGCTATGTATATAGAGCAAACTATGGCTTGACCTCATATCTCTGAGAGTCTGTGGTCGTTAAATGCGCACGTTTAATATCTAGATATATGTGTATATGTATGTATGTAATATTTATACACACCGTCATATCTAGATACTTAAACAAGACACTCCGTCATATATAGATATATACACAATACACACTGTCATATCAAGGTATGTATACAATATACACCGTCATAGCTAGATATATACACAATAAACACCGTCATATCTATATATATATACAGTACACACCGTCATATCTAGATATATATACAGTACACACCGTCATATCTAGATATATACACAGTACACACCGTCGCATCTAGATATATACACAGTATACACCGTCATAGCTAGATATATACACAATAAACACCGTCACATATAGATATATACACAATACACACCGTCATATCTAGATATATATTATATACCCCTTGGTCCCTAGTATGGTGATCTACCTTCAGTTGTTGGTGATCAATAGCCCATTTTAGCCCAGTATTGTCTAAAATAGTTTTTTACTTTTAAAATAAATACATGCTAGTTTTAACTCTTTTTGTGATACTCTAGTTATTTTACAGTCCGTCGATGACTGGTTATTTAACTACTTGTATGTATAGTGTATGTACAACATTTCTCGTCACTATATGGCTGAAATATTGCCGAGGTGACGTTAAATTTTAACTCACTCACTCACTTACTATATACCCATGTAAACTTAGGATAGTAGTACAGGGGTGCAATACGGAGGACGTGGTCAAATTCCGGTTCAACATTGCTACGCTATGATTTGTTTTATTAAGTAACAGATTAATGGAAGATAAGAGGGTGTATTATAAATAAAGGACGTCAGACTAGTGCCTTTGGATGTTTTGTATTGAACGTGAAGATGTCATGGGAGCAGAGAAACAACGAGTTCGAAGAACGAGTAGCTTCTCTGCTCCCATGACATCTTCGAGTTCAATACAAAACATCCAAATGCACAAGTATGACGTTCTATATCTATACACCGTTTTATCTATCTAAATATATATATATATGTGTGTGTGTGTGTGTGTGTGTGTATATATATATATAAATGGATAAGACGGTATTGTCTTATTGTGTGTATATATATATATATATATATATATATATATATATACAATACACCGTCTTATCCAGATGCATATACAATACACACCGTCATATTTAGATATGTATACAATACTCACCGTCATATCTAGATATGGTGGCCTCCCATTACGCAGACAGGCAGTTCGCAGACGCCTTAAAACAACATTTACGGTTCAATGAACAGATTAGCTACTACCAGTTACCTACACATTATAATGGAATAGTCCAAGAAATAACGCAAGAAGAAAACTGAAGCTATATTATTTACTTTAAAAGATCGTCGAAAAGACATTAATTTGAATTTTGAATGCTGCAAAAACCAAAAGTTGAATTTCATAAACATTTCAGTTTTTCCTTGTCAAAATGACATCTAAAAGGATTGGAGCATTTCAGAAATTAATGTTCCTACTAAACAGAACCACACCAGTTTTTCTTCAGGATTTACTCCCACCTGTAGTAGGCAACCGGACAAGCTATGAGTTAAGAAACTCCAAAAATTTTAGCCAACCATGTACAAGACTGAGGTACTCAACACCATCATTGTATTCCATCAGCAGGTAAAATATGGAATAATATTCCCTTAGCTATTAGGAATTGCGACTCTGTTGCATCGTTTAAATCTCATATCCACGTGAAAGAAAAGTGTGCACCTAAATATTATTCATATGGAATAAGGAAGTTAAATGTTTTGCACACAAGGTTAAGATGTATATGACGAGTACACTTACTTATGATTTATTTAGAATAGATATTAAAAAGATGAGACATCATTTCTATGTGGCCATGGATGTGAGAATGTTTTTCATTACTTCCTTGAATGTCCACTGTATACTAATCAAAGTAAACAGTTACAATCTTTAGAAAGTATTGATGAAACTAAAACATCGACTGGTATTAATCTTATCTTACATGTCAATACAGGTTTCTCATTAATTGAAAAGCAGAATGTTTTCAAATATGTACATATCTATATCTATGATTACACAATGCCATTTATCTATATATCTCAGACAAAACATTTTCTGAGTTAACTTCAGCTGTACATATCCTATTATTGGAAGAGGGCCTTTCTAAGTTGGATAAGTTGTGCCGAATCCTTTTCTGGAATGCATAACATGTTTCAATCAATAAACACAATCGAACCTCTCAGTGACAAACCTGTTTTTCTATTCGATAATAATTGATAGTAAACATAATATTGAGAAGAGAAGACAGATTATCATTTAATCACAGAAAAGTCCTATTTACCCACAATCAAACTTTTCAGTAACGAACCTGTTTCATGCTCACCCTACTCTACTCACAAGACAGTGGACTGTTCCATTATACCCGTAGGTGTAACCCTAATTAACCTTCTAGTTCAGTGTCTGTCAATTGACTGTCTTTCAAATGGGTGTCTGTCAATTGGGAGACAATCCCTAGATATGTATACAATATACACCGTCTTATCCAGATACATATACAATACAGACCGTCATAGCTAGATTTATATACAGTACACACCGTCACATCTTGATACATGAACAATGCACACCGCCATAATTTTATTTATGTTTATAAATATACACACACACAATGCACATTGTTATATCTATACTCTCCCAAAAAAGAAAAGCATATAGGAATTTCAACTGTATTTTTATGTTTATTTTGAAACATCTTGTAGGCTTTATGAGTCAATGAAATATAGCGAAATTGCACACTGGGAATGCTGACTTATCCGTCTTTGGCACCAACTCGAGGAAAGTCAGTTTGAGTGTCACTTGGAGACGTGTGGTGGCGCTGAAGTCAATACCTCGTGTGACCACCGTGGGCATCCAGAACTGCACGGCATCGCCTCGGCATCGAACGAATAAGTCTCAGAATCTCGTGTTGCCCAATCGCAGCCCACTCTGCCTGTAGTGCCTGTGCGAGTTGCTGAAGTGTCTGGGGCTGAGGGTTACGGCGTCGCACCCGTCTGTCCAGGGCATCCCACAGATGTTCGATCGGGTTTAAGTCCGGTGATCTTGAGGGCCAGGGGAGCACATTGAAGTTGTGGTTCTGGAGGAAGTCTCTAGTGTGACGTGCTGTGTGGGGCCTGGCATTGTCCTGTTGAAACAACTCCCTCTGGCGATCAATGATTGGAAGGAGGTGTGGGCGTAGGATTTCGTCACAGTACCGTTGAGCTGTCAGGTTGCCCTGGATCAACATCAAATCACTTCTCCTACGGCAGGTGATCGCTCCCACATCATAACACTTCCCCGGCCGAATCTGTCCACCTGGGGAACGCAAGCGTCGGCGAAACGTTCACGTCGACGTCTATATAGAAATAGAAATCGTGATTCATCACTGAACCAGATTCTACGCCAATTCGGTAGGTTCCAGGCCTGAACGTTGGTGCACCATTGAACTCGATGTCGACGATGTTGTTGTCGAAGCACAGGGCCAAAATAAGGTCTTCTGGCACGTAAACCAGCCCCTCTCAACCTGTTCCTGACGGTCTGTGCAGAGCGGTACTGGTCGCCGTAGCTGTTCGATGACGCAGGTGATGTACTCGGATGTAGCGATCCTGCGCCGCAGTGGTCGCTCGAGGTCGCCCACTACGAGGAGCATCTGCTACCGCATTCTGCCGGCGATATCTCTCCCAGACCCGTGAAATGGTGCTTTGGTGAACATTCATGCGTCGGGCAACTGCACGTTGAGACTGGCCAGCTTCAAGCAAACCAATGGCGATATGACGGTTGGCTTCACTTTGACGTGGCATTTTGCGTTCGTCAACAATATTCCAAATACAGTGAATAATCGACAGACAGCGATCAACCTTTTATACCCATCATTGAGACTATCTGATCCCCAACTTTCACGTGCATTGCATGTGAATTGTGTATTCTGTGACACTACACGCCGAAATTGAAAATGATGCTGTTAAATACGGGTATTTTACGGATGGTGCGTTTTGTTGTGATGTTTCAAAACATAAACACCATAGGACTCATAAACAGAGCAAAACCTTTTGTAAAATGAATCACGTTTTAATTCATTGCTACATGAAATTGCAATTTTCATGATGCGCTTCTTTTTTGGCAGAGTATATATGTATGAACAACTCAATCCGATACATTTAGACATATTAACAATACACATTGTTATATCAAGATACAGAAAGAAGACCAGCACCGTCATTTTTAGAAATATACACACCGTTAACGTTGTGTTGACCTATAAGACGTATCGCTAACTTCAGTTGTGTTTATCTATACATCATATCGCTAACTTCAGTTTTGTTTATCTATACGTCATATCGCTAACTACAACTGTGCTTATCTATACATCGTATCGATAGCTACAGTTGTGTTTATCTATAAATCGTATCGCTAACTACAGTTGCGTTTACCTATAACTCGTATCGCTAACTACAGTTGCGTTTACCTATAAATCGTATCGCTAACTACAGTTGTGTTTACCTATAAATCGTATCGCTAACTACAGCTGTGTTTATCTATAAATCGTATCGCTAACTACAGCTGTGTTAAAATGGTACAATGCCGTAAAAGCCGAATTTGTTCAACTTTCATATGAAAACGCCTGAAATCAGAAATCCCAATATGTACATCTGCCTTTTTATTGCATGCTAAATCAGGGCACCGTTGAAAGACAAACGTTATCGCTGCTTTACCAGATGAACGCAAGAGTA